AATAAAATCTACTATATTCCATTCATAACACTTTTAAAAAACAAATAATTAAACAACAAAATAACTTTCAGTAACAATTACACCATAACATAATTCAGTATAGTTACAACCACAATTATAGCCATAGTAATAGTCAAAGCACTTCACATTAATTCCAAACACACCAAACACACCTTAGGTGTTTTTTATAAAAGCTATAACTAAAAAACTCCAAAATGAGGCTTTTGGTTTTATTTATTGTGGTTTTTTACAACTTTTAGAAAAAATAGTCTAAAAAAAATTATCAAACACAAAAATATCTAAAAGCACTATATGGTTACACGAAAAAACTCTCAATCACAATACTAAACGCACCCTAAATGGTTGACAAGGGGGTTTGGAAAATGAAAGATTTTTCTCTTATATTACTCATTAAATTTATATATCTCTCTTATATAACATATAAACTCAAATTCATTGTTTAATAGTAAAAGACACATACGGTTCTACCCTCCCATAATTTTTATTTTTATTTATTTAAAAGAATTGTGAGTTCCGTCAAGCCCACATTGCGATAAGTAGGAAAGTTGTTTGATAGAGTTAGAACTTAGAAGTGTCATTGTTGAGAAACCAGCATTGATACCTATTTTGGTGAAAAGATATTATATATTATAATGATACAGTTTCATCAATCAATCTATTAATCATGTATAAAATTGGAATGACAGTCAATTTTACATGGGAATGCAAAATAGAGGTAAAAAAATGTAAAACTAATAACAATCTAAAACAATTTCTTATCTAACCAAAATCAATTGAGGTCAAGCATCTTCTTAAGTCTTAACTTACATAAATTATAATATAAATATATGAGTTAGTGCGTATCAATCTCGACTTTAAAAAATAATTAGAATTTTAATTTATATTTAAAAATTGAAATATCATTTTATTAAATATTAATATCTAAATTTACAAACTCATTATATATTTTAATATAATCAGTTTTAAAATCTAAATAGCAATATTTAATATGATAATTTTTAAAATTTTGAGTTGAATTTTAATTAAATAAAATGACGTAATTTAAAATTAAGATTCTAATTATTTTTGAAAGTCAGGACTAATATGTATTTTTTTTTCTAAATATATACTTCACTTTTTCAAAAGTTAAACCCATTGTTGCATCATTGTTGTCTTAGCTCAATTGTCAAGTGTTGATGATGTAGGTGAATGAGTCAGTAGCGGTGACGATGTGGAGGCTGATTGGGATGACACTCGAAAAAATGAGGGGGTTCTTTCGGCGGCACCCATCTCATGTGCAAGAGACTACATGTTATGGGTCATCCCATTTTGTTGGGCGATGATATCTTGCAGTGCACATT